AAAAAAAAAAAAAAATAGTGACGAAAAAAAAGAGTTAAATTAGACCTGCTATTACATTTATGATAAAACAAAATGGATAATACGAAAAGAACCTGATAGTGAAATCAAGTAACATCGACTCAAAATCAGTGTCTAGTATATAAGATGCTACAACACGACGATCACATCACTACACTACTACACAATTATTCAAGGGGAAGCACAGCCAAACGAAAAACAAGAATCCCTACAAAGAAAGAGGATCAATTTTTCTTGGTGCAGCACAACTTAAATTAAAACTCTTGTACTCCAAAGAACTAATAACTCAGCAAACACTTTTTTCATTTCAATTTTCTTTTCTTTCCTTTTTCTTTTTCAATTCTTCAAGATATTATAAAAATGCCGAACGCGATCCTTAAGGGGAAGGAGATTAATCCAGTTAAAGAGCTATAATGAGCTAGTTTTAGTTATTAGCCTTCTATCACCGCATTAAAAGCTGGAAGGCTTCATTCCTCGTTTCCAGCTCATACTCATACCCGAGACTGTTTGCTCGATCTTGAAACTCACTCATCTCATTACGAGCCACTTGGATACCAACCAACACATTTGCTCCAGTTTCTCCCTATTTGAAAATAAAAAAATAAAAGCAATTCAATAAGATATAAGTCTGAAATGCATAGCAAGGCCATAATATAACATAGACATTCATATTTTACATACCTGCCCACGGTAATGGAACAAGCTTATATTCCAACGTGGACTTAAAGCATCCAAGAATTTCATCAATGCTCCAGGCCTTTCAGGGAAAATGAAGCGGCATAATAGCTCGTCTTTCACATTCGACCTTCCACCCATCTGAAATGGATTCATAACAAAACACAATTGCTCGAAAATTAAACTGATAGTTTCATACTAAAAAGTCAATCGTGGAAAATTAAGATAAAAATTTGTCCTATATAATCATTAACTTAAAACAAAGGTAAACTCATCCTTATAAATTCTAACGTCGGATTATATAATAAAACCGTAGGTAGCCAACAGCAATCTATGAGGACCTTAGGATGCAAAAATAGACCACATAACAAGATTTTACCTAAATGCTTCAACAAGCACATTGACTATGCCAAATTACGTCATTACTTAAGATTCTTTATAAGAAATATAAAAGGAAAAAAGAAAAGAGACACGTACCAGATGCCGCAAATGATCTTTTACCAAGTCATTTTCTGTAAGATTAATGGTGTGTAGCTGAGCTGATTTCATTCTCCGGACCATTGCTTCGAGTTCTAAATCCGTGTGAAGGCCAACACTGTCAAGAAAAAGCAAAATATGTGGTCAATACGCTACGTTGTTGCCTTTTGAAATTGTAAGAACCATACACACACACACACACACACACACACACACACACACACATATATATACATATATATATATATGAAATATAGTTCTTGCCTGTATAGTACTAAAGCCTTTTCTTTATCTGAATTATATCGGTACTTGAATTCAGTAATATTCATAGGGCCAACCTGTAACCAAAAAAACAAAGCTATAACTTAACTTTGGAGGTCATGCATATTAATAACATTAAAACAACGAGAACACACTCACAAGCTCACAAAACTGTTTAAAGCTTCCAGGCTCCTCAGGCATGTAGGTGGCGAGCACAGCTTCCCGCCGTCTACCAACATCTGCAAGTTCAGTTACTAATCTCAATCTATCAAAGTTCATATTAGCTCCACTTGTCACAGCTATTACATTAACACCCTTGAGTCCATAGTACTTGCAGTAAGCTTCAGCTCCAGCAAGGGCAAGAGCACCAGCTGGCTCTAAAATGCTCCTTTTCTCCTCGAACATGTCCTTCACCAAAACAAGTAAATGATATAACCCTTTAAGTTAAAGTATATCCAGACCACCATACATAAAGAAGTAAATAAATCGGTTCAAGTTCAAGACAGATTGACAGAAACATATAACCATTTAATGGAGGGGCTCAGTCAGCCGGATTTCATACCCATAGCCAGGCCTCCATCTATGGTAAGACGGACTGGCCCAAACCATAATTTATTGCCAAGCCCAAGTGGTTTTAACCCAATTTCATTAGACCTATCTTTTTACCTTTAGTCCAGTTTCATATGTTTTCAGTTCAACATATATATATATATATATATATATATATATTCACTAGTAGTTTCCTGATTTTTCTGGGTGTGTCAGGGGCCACAGGCCAGCACCCCCTAGATACGCCCCTGATAAAATGTGAGCACATAAACGGAGTTCGAAACCCAGACTAGAGACTACCTCATGATCTAAGGGTATGTTTGTTAAGCCAAGGTGATAATGTAGCTGATAGCTGATAAGGTAATAGAGAACTACCAGATCATAGGCGAAAAACTATCTTATATAAGTAAGTGTTTGGAAACATTAGCCAATAATCTATCTTAAAGTACAAAATTGCAATGAAAAACAAAGAGTGTATCATTATGAAAGGAAGAAAAAGGTTAAAAAGAGGAATAAAACTGAAAAAAAATAGTATGAGCATATCAGAAAAGCTCATAACGTACCACATGAGGATATGCCCGAGCAGTTAAAAAAAAAAAAGAAAAAGAAATCAACTAACCAAACAAAGTGTATTTGGATACGAGAAACTTATAAGCTCTTTGAAATAACCTGAAAAGTACTTATAGTGCTTATTAAACATACACTAAGGATGGTGGATGGTGTATTCAATTGAAACTTTTGAAGGCTTATCAAGATTTTTAAAATTCTGGTGTATTCAATTGAAACTTTTTTTGAGACTTCTAAAAAGTAAACCAGTACTCAATTGAGCAATTATTCAACACATTTTACCTCATGGCACACCACCACAGAGAAAAACGACAGAACAGAACAAATGTCATTTATTTCCAAAGGCAGCTAACCTTTATCGACGCACAAATGGCATCACGCCCTACGAGAACCACGCCATCCACAAGCTCCCTGCAGAGGCGGAAAGTCTCCTCTCCAACCACCTTTACAGCCACACCATCCGCAAAACCCCCAACTTGGTCCAACACAACTCGCTGGTCATGGTGCAGTGACAGTGCCATTGCATTCGCATCAAATGGCTCCACCCCAATAATTTTCACCTGTGGAGCCACCCTCTTCACATAAGCAGCAATGCCGGCTATAAGTCCACCTCCACCAACAGGCACGAATATTGCTTCTAGTGGGCCCTGCATCTGTTTAACAATCTCCATCCCAACTGTTCCTTGGCCTGTTATTACATCAGGGTGGTCGAAAGGAGGTATGAATGTACGGCCCTCATCCGCAGCTCGTTTTTTTGCGTATGCCTGGGCTTCATCGTACGAGTCCCCTATGAGTACAACCGTGGCCCCTAATCTCTCAACCGATCTCCACTAAAAAGTTATCAAGCAGAAGAGGCTTCAGTAATCATGTGATCGTGTCAATTGTGGGCAAAATTCTAATAGATAAAATGAATGTAGGAATAAATAAAAATAACCTTGATCTCTGGAGTAGTAACAGGCATAGCAATCACTGCATTGCAACCCAATCTCTGGGCAGCTAATGCCACGCCTTGAGCGTGATTCCCAGCGGATGAACAAATTACTCCCCTTTCGAGCTGTTCTTTCGGGAGTTTAGCCATCATATTGTACGCACCTCGAAGCTTGAATGAGAAAACCTGAAAAGGAGATTTTTCGAACATGTAAACTAGTTTCATTCACAGAGAACTCAGCAAATATCTGAAAACCTCGTAGAAAATATCTAGTTTCTCTGTCTGTAAATTCAGAAGTAAGTCCCCAAGTTTCAATTTAACATCTCAAATTCCGATAGAATCCGAAAAAACATAGAATCAGACAATGTACAAAATTTAAGCACAATAACATTGCACGTAGAATTCAACAACGTGAAGATATACATAATAAGATGAGATATGAACATTCAAAACACATACAGGCTGAAGATCCTCCCTCTTCAGCCAGATATTGACGCCACACCTCCCGGATAGCTTCGCTGCTAGCTGCAACGGCGACTCGTACGCCACGTCATACACCTTAGACACCAAAATGTTCGTCAAATACTCCATCGCATTCAGGCTACCATCGGCAGCACCGCCGCTACCCAAATTCTCGTTAGGCAACAAATACCCGCTCTCGCACTGGATAGAGCTCGGAGACACTCTCAGCAGAGGCTCCGGTGCCGGAGAGGGTGGCGCAA